CTAGTGCCCCCTAGTGGCCGGAAGTTAATTAAAACAGCTTTAATTAATAGAAAACTGTGTATTTAGTCTTATGTGTATATCCATTTTCAGATATCTATAGCAGCCATATNGGAAGACAGTCTAAGCATCTTATTTTCTACTGTAGTGCTTTACATGTCTGACAGAGACCAGCACACAATCAGCCACCAGAAGGTGAAAAGGTCATAGGTGAGATTCGAACCCACGACTCTAGGAAAGCCCTGTGTGGAGGTTCCATGGTGTAACGGCTAGCACTCTGGACTCTGAATCCAGCGATCCGAGTTCAAATCTCGGTGGGACCTGAACTTTAAGGGACAGCTCAAGGATAATAACTGATTGAAATGTATTTGTTACTGACAGATTCAAATGATAAAGATAAACCGCCCTTTAATGTGGATGCACACAGTCTGAAGCTGAAAGCCTGACTTAGTAAGGAAAGTTGATAACCACTTTCATCATACCTGTTATCTGTGACTGAGGTTTTAGTTCTTGTTTAGCCAAATTACAGACAGGAAGTCTGGCTATGTCAAACGTCTGAGTATACACCACTAATGTTGACCACAGTGTTGCCTTTTACTTATTTTTGTTTGAATGAAAGACTCTCAACTGTTATTCTGACAAACCATGAAGTTATCTGTACTTAAAATCAGGTCCCACCGAGATTTGAACTCGGATCGCTGGATTCAGAGTCCAGAGTGCTAACCATTACACCATGGAACCTCCATGCAGGCTAACTGGGAGACATGGGTTCTAATCCCACTTGTGACAATAAACCTTTTGACTGACTGGTGACTGACAATATATACTGTCCTCTGTCAGACATCCAAAGTACATTAATCGACACTAAAGCTAATTTCCAACATCTAATCTATCTGCTTTTAATTCAAAGCAAGGAAAGACAGAATTTTCTCAGTAAACAAGTTTCAGTTGACAAGTACATACTCTGGCCCAGGTTCAGTTATACACAGGTGTTGCGGTGGCTATGCAGTCAGGATGGCCGAGCGGTCTAAGGCGCTGCGTTCAGGTCGCAGTCTCCCCTGGAGGCGTGGGTTCGAATCCCACTTCTGACAGCTACTGTTTTCTAGTCCATCAGTATACTTAGAAACATGTAATGTGATACAGAAATAGGATGCGTGCTGTGTGTTGCCTCTTTCCACAATCCTGCACCAAACATCGTTTGACTCAACAGTAATACAGTGCAGATAGAAACCAGTCATTGCCATGTATTCGCTATTTCTTCTCACATTTCTGAAGCCACCTTAACTGCCAGAAATAACAAACTCCAGGCAGAACAAGTTTAACGAGCTGTGCTGAAAGATGATATATTCTCCCCTGCTGGCCTGGGTTTGAATCTCACCTTCAGCAGTTTGTATTTTCCACTTTCTATCCATGTTGTTGGAATGCTGTAACATGACCACCGTCGCAGGACCAGTTATCCTTAGAGCGATGGTTAGGGTTAGTCAAGCCGGATCTCTGAAAGATATCCTGGGTGTGTTGATCTTGCTTCGTAGTACAGGCCCTTGGGGTTGCTGATGCTGGTGAAGTCATCTCACATTGTTGTTCAATCCTCTCAAAATCAGGTCCCACCGAGATTTGAACTCGGATCGCTGGATTCAGAGTCCAGAGTGCTAACCATTACACCATGGAACCTCTACACAGTTGTCCTCTGGAGGCATGGTTTCGGATCTCACTTCTGGCGGTATACATTTTCACTGACCAGTGACTGATAACATGTAAGGAGATGTAATAGAGTACCTGTTGATTCATATACAAATGCAGAGGTATGTAGAGATGAGGTGCAAGTGTCTGCACATAAATTACCAATACTGACAAAATCAGTGGAGACGTTGGACATTTTCACTGACTTGTGACTGATAGCATGTCAGTAGAAGCTTTTGTAGAAATCTACTGGACTTTTCTTTGAGGTTCTTGAGGATGTTTGACCTTCATCCAATAGACTTCCTCTGTTCTAACTGACGGGGAGCTTCAGACGTTTATAGGCTAGTGGTCCATCAAAGAAGGTACCTCAAGGTGTGAATTGTTGTGAAACCAGGTGGTCCAACGGGTGATGGAGCTGAACATAGATGAACCATGTCAGGAGAGAGATATCAATACAGTGTCACAGATACCTCCTCTGATGATTGAACAACATACCTTACTTACAAACCAGTAAAGATGTTTTTCTTTTGTGTACCTGAACCTCCTGTCAAAATCAGGTTCCACCGAGATTTGAACTCGGATCACTGGATTCAAAGTCCAGAGTGCTAACCATTACACCATGGAACCCCTACAGAAGGCATTGTATCCGTGTATCACCAAAACCAACCAACCATCAAAAGGTCACCCAGTCACCCAGAACTTCCCAATATCTTTTTCCAAGCTGATAAAACCCCTCATCTCCAACTCACATGACTAATTGTCCATTGTCAACTCAGGGGCAGGTGGGAATGGTTGTGACAATCCGATGTCCCAAGAACAATAATGGCTGAGAAGCTGCCAGGTCAGAGGTGACTGCCCAGTAACTCTAAAGAATCTATAGTCAGCACAAACGTCTGTTGTCAGTAGTGGGTTTCGAAGCCACACCTCCAGAGGACACCTGTGTGGAGGTTCCATGGTGTAACGGTTAGCACTCTGGACTCTGAATCCAGCGATCCGAGTTCAAATCTCGGTGGGACCTGATTTTGAGAGGAGGTTCAGGTACACAAAGGAAAAACATCTGTTCTGGTCTATTTATAAATGAGGTATGATGTTCGTTTACCAAGCACCTCGAAATTTCACCATCATTGACAGCTTAAGTCACCACCTGGTTTCACAACAGTTCACACCTTGAGGTACCTGAATCCTGGTTCTTTGATGGACCATTAGTCTGTAAACATCTGAAACTCCCTGTTTTACTCAGTTAGAACTGATAAATCTCTTGGATGAAGGTCAGACACTTGCACCTCATCTCTACATACCTCTGCATT